CGAACGCATCTCCACCTATGAACCGACCAGAACATTAAGATCGTCTGGGGAGGCCCTGCTCTCGATCCCGCCAGTGTCACAGGCGCGCTTGGCGGGGACGAGAGACAGGGCCTTCTCAGTGGTGGCCCCTCGGCTATGGAATGCATCAGGCACCTTCGCTGCTGACGTTTCGGAGAATGGTTAAGACCTGGCTTTATGAACAAGCGTTTGGTTAAGCAGTGCAACCAATCATAGGAAGACGGTAAATGGAACATAGGAATGGCACAAGGATTATGAGAACGGATCTGATTTCAACTGAGGCGTTATGTTATGTTTGTTTTGTTGATCTGTCTTGTTGATTGTTAATTGTTGTGGATTGATGCTGTTGATCCTGTTTGTTGCATTGTTATGTTTTAATTGCACTGACACTGTTTGATAACTGTACCATGTAAACCGCATTGAGTCGCCTGTTAAGGGCTGAAAAATGCGGTATAGAAATAAAGCAAATAAATAAATAAATAAATAAACATCCCAATTAATAAAATTTAATACTTTTGTTCTCCCTTTATTTGTGGGTCTCTTGCACAAAAGCCACACTTACCTGATTTTCAGTTAAGAGTTTGCTTACCTTTTTTTAACTATTCACTTCAGTAGTTAAGATTATCTCTACTTTGTGGTGGAATAAACTCGAACAGTTGGATCAATTATATAAAGAACAGCTATCCAACTTTTTTTGAAATTACTGTGCATATACAGCCTCCTTGTGGGTCACTATTCAGATATGGGGAATTAAAAATCAAGCTTTTCACACTTTCCTTGAAAAAATTACCAACAGTTCTGAAGTTTTTTGACTTTTTAAAATGAAAAGAGCCCCGCTTGGTACCAATTAGGTCTCCTTCTTGTTTAAAAGAAATGGAGGAAGAAAGGTTGCCAAAAGGAAAACTGGAGAAATGTTCTTTAACTTTAATGATTATATAGAAGTGGGAATCATAGAGTATATTTAGCTTGGAGAAGAGAAATTTAAGAGAGACACTAGCCATCTTTAATATCTAAGGAGGAGGCAAGCTGGTTTTCTGCTTCTCTGAAGACTAGGACTTGCAGCAATGAATCCAAATATCAAGAAAAAGTTTCCATCAAAGCATTAGGAAGAACTTTCTGATGGCAAGAGCTGTTTGACAGTGGAATATGCTGTCTGGGAGCGTGGTGGAATCTCCTTCTCTCAGAGGCTGGATGGCTATCTGATGAGAGTGATTATGTGTGTTCTTGCATGGCAGATTGGGATTGGGCTGGATGACCCATGGGGTGTCTTCCAACTCTGTGATTCTATGACTTTATTCAGGTGTTGCTTGTGAACATTTCTCCATATATGGTGGTTCTATTATGGGCTAGAGACTTGTGTCTCCTTTCTGAGTAAGAAAACCAGAGACAACAGCACCCACCTTAGAAAATTATAGTAGGAGGTGTTTCTCCTTCTTATACCGCACTTATCAAGGCAGTGAATAAAACAAGTAAGGGACTTTCCATGTAAACAAACAAGTAGGGTTTTATAAGAGGCCAGCATTATGGGTGAAATTCCTTATTTTAATATCCACAAAAAGTTGGATCAGACCCTGCAGTTTCTCTATTGTTCCTTCCCATAGAAATGAAGATGGCTGATGTAGGTCAACAACCCAATACATCTGCTGTTCAGGTTCTTTTGCTGCCTTTATTTGTGGAAATTAATTTGCTTCATCACTAGCCACATGCTGGTCAGGAGTCAGCATTACATTAAGTCTAATATTGTATCTGGAAAATTAGGCAGGATGAATATTAAGATTCAACAACCCAATATTAAGATTTTTGTCCCTTTCCACTGAGGACAAGACAGTAATTTTAACATTGTTCAGGACCTGATATCACAGTTAATGTCATCAAGTGAAGGTCTCTGAATGAAGTGCTGGTTGTTTTACTTTCCCTAACTTCCAGCAATCAATCCAAGCTTATAAAAAGCTCCAGATAAAATAGTCAAAGAGAATGATGTGCTCCCTCATGTCGACAGAATGTACACCATTCCTCTTTCATGAATGGTATTTGAAAATGTAGTGGGGTCTAGGTATCTGCTGGGATTGGATTCCATTACCTACCATCAGTACCCAAATTGATGGATGCTCAAGTCCTATTATATTTGGCAATGTAGTCAAATGGTGTCTGCTTTGAATACACAAGTGTAGGTTTGCTTTATGGATTTCTTTTTAAAAGATTTTCAAACCCATAGCTGGTTCACCATTTGTAGATACAGAGCCAACTATATAACTCATCCAGGTTGGTCTAAAGAAAGGTGACTTTTTATGCCTTAGCTCCTTTATGTCTACTCTTTCCATATTTTCTTGGTTTTACACTAGGACAATTCCATTTTTGTTGCAGTGGTCCTATGATTATTATATTATATTATATATTATATATTATATTAATATTATAGAATCATAGAATCAAAGAGTTGGAAGAGACCTCATGGGCCATCCAGTCCAACCCCCTGCCANGAGGCAAGTTTCTCACCTGGCCAGGTTGAAGGCATCGTCAATCAGCTGAGCCCGGTTGAGAACAGGGATTACCTGGGGAAGGAAGAGCAGAGGCTAGAGGTTGGAAAGGGACCAGAGAGATGGAAACCATTAACTGGAGGGGGGGGTGCATCCCAAGACCCACATGGCTGGACTAGATGACCCTTGGGGTGCCCTTCCAACCTGACATGGGTCCAGCTGACCTGGGCCTGAATCAGGACCTGGAATTACTTGGGGTGTTGGACTCCTAAGTAAAATACAGGTGTGGGGGGTCAACTGGTCAGGCAGTGAGTCAAGCCAAGCTGTCACTCACCTGGTGGTTGTCGCTCAGCCGCTCCATCAGCCGGTTCCAGTTTCCCTGGTCATAGTTCACCCGGTAATATCCAACAACGTTAAGGTTGAGCAGCAGCCACTTGTTTGGGGTTCCGGCTGTAGCAAAGTCGGGTACGTTTTCTGCAGAAAATGAGCAAGACGGAAAGGTAAACAGAGACATAAGGAGAGGTCCCAGGTCACCTGGGGGGGGGGCTGAGTCTCCTCTCTCTTTCTCTGTCCATCCAAGGAAGAAAATGTCCAAAGCCTTATAGAGCAGTCTTATGAGTCACCTTGTTGAGAGAAAAGTGGAGCATAATAATAATAATAATAATAATAATAATAATAATAATAATAGCTGCTCAAAGTTTTCTAGGGCCATGTGCAATGGTGGCTCTATTTGCTGTCCAGAGCCTTATAGGGCAGCCTTATGAATCTCCTTGTGGAGAGAAAAGTGGGATATATAATAGTAGTAGTAGTAGTAATAGTCGTCCAAAGTCTTATAGGGCCTTATGCAATGATGGCTATTTGCTGCCCAAAGCATACGTCGGACACTTCCCAAGTGTCTAGGACTGTGTGATGTGTCGGTGAATAATGTGTGCAGATCTCAGTAAGGTGGCCTTTTGCAGCTGGCAGATGGTAATTTTGTCAGTGCCAATTGTGTTTAAGTGCAGGCCAAGGTCTTTAGGCACTGCACCTAGTGTGTCGGTTATTATTATTATTATTGTTATTATTATTATTATTATTATTTGAAACACAACAAGATGAGTCCACAGACACTCTACTGGCTGTTGAATTGGATCACACGTTGGACACTTCCCAAGTGTCTAGGATTGTGTGATGTATCGGCGAATAATGCATGCAGATCCCAGTAAGGTGGCCTTTTGCAGCTGGCAGATGGTAATTTTGACAGCGCCGATTGTGTTTAAGTGCAGGCCAAGGTCTTTAGGCACTGCACCCAGTGTGCCGATCACCACTGGGACCACCTTTACTGGTTTGTGCCAGAGTCTTTGCAGTTTGATCTTTAAATCCTCATATCGTATCAGCTTTTCCTGTTGTTTCTCTGCAATCCTGCTATCACCTGGGCATGCGACATTGACGATCCATACTTTGCTTTTTAACATGATGATGATGATGATGATGATTATTATTATTATTATTACAGTGGATGTATCCTGAAGCATAGATTCACTCAAGGTTTCTTATCCAGTGCTGGAAGCTTTGGTGTTCTAACATTTTTGCTTTAAAAGCAGGCAGCAACTGCAATGAGCATCTTACAAAGAGTAGACATTTTGGTACTGCACATTACATTTGTCAACAATTATTATTTGTGTGTGCTTTGTTCTGTTCTGTGACCAGTCTCAAAACATGGGGAGACATGGGTAAGATATAATAATAATAATAATAGTTATTATTATTATTATTATTATTATTATTATTATTATTGACACAAAAGCACAGTATGTCACAGCAAACAAGATCTATATGCTGGATTTCGTATCACAAAATCACAAGTCGAACACTTCCCAAGCATCTAGGACTGTGTGATGTTTATTATTATTATTATTATTATTATTATTATTATTGGTTTCAAGATTTTGAAAACTGGGGTGCGCGTTAGATTAGATGGCGCCCGAGACTCCAGTACATATGGGTGGTTATTATTATTATTATTATTATTATTATCATCATCATCATCCTGCCTTACCAGACCTTCAAGGCACCCCACATCACTGGGAGGCTCAAACTCAATGGGCCAAGCATTTTTGGAAACAGAAGGAAAACAGCAAAACACAGTTGCTCTCCTGGTCTGAGTCCCTCTGGTTTTGTTCGCTGGCGAGAACAGACAGACTGGTCTTCATTGAGGCCTACCTGTTGTTTCAGTGAGCCAGCGCATGATTCCTTCACCATCAGAGGTCATCCAGGTGACGGGCACGATCCAGGTGTAGCTGCAGGACAACAGGGTGCCAGGTGAGGAGGAGGACATAGTGGCAAAAGCAGAAGGGCAAGGAGGAAGAGCTCCCCTCTGCTCCAAAAAACAGCAGCCTTGCCAGGCGGGACCGCACTTGTGTGGTAGGGGACCTGCAGGTTGACAAGGCACCCCAGTTTCACTCCCCTTCCTCCTTTACCCTCTTACCTGAAATTTGAGGGCCGCTGGACGGAGGAGTTGCCCAGCAGGAAGTGCTGTTGGGTGACCTGCCCGGTCGCAGTGTCCACGGTCAACACCGGGAAGCCCATCTGCAATGTCCACCGGTCCATGATGGTCTCGATGGAGCCAGGAAGGGTGTTGTTGAATCCGTCCTCATCCACCGCCTGATTGGAGAGGAAGGTCAGTGGAAGGTTAAGGCAGCCAAGAAAGCGGGGGTCCTTAAGGTAAGAATAGGAAGCCTTGGCCACAGCTAGGAGGGTGGCCTTGGGGGGCAAAGGTCGCAGGAAGGAAGATGGGGCGATAAGCGGGAAGCTTTGGGCACACCTGAGGGCAGAGGTCCCTGGCAGCAGGAGGAAATGGAAGCGGTTTACAACCATCACAACACTTCCTATCAACTGTTTTCAAAGATAAAACACAGGTAGGGCAGTTATCAACATTATTTCCAAGTTTCAGTTACTTTGATGAAGTGTGTTGATTATGCCCTGAGTCCCTTCGGGGAGATAAGGCAGAATATAAATAAAGTTTTATTATTATTGTTATTACGCAAAGGCACGAACCCTGAACATGCTTGATCAGAACTTAGTCCTGTGAGGCCCCTTCTACACTGCCACATAAAATCCAGTCATATAATCCAGTTCAAAGCTGATAATCTGGACCATCTGCTTTGATAATCTGGTTCATATGGCAGTGTAGACTCATATTGCTGCTGGTTATAACCTGGATTATATGGCAGTGTGGACTCATATTGCTGCAGGTGATAACCTGGATTATATGGCAGTGTGGACTCATATTGCTGCGGGTGACAACCTGGATTATATGGCAGTGTAAAGTCATATTGCTGCTGGTGATAACCTGGATTATAGGGCAGTGTGGACTCTATTGCTGCTGGTTTATAGGACAGTGTGGACTTTATTGCTGCTGGTGATAACCTAGATTATAGGGCAGTGTGGACTCTATTGCTGCTAGTGATAACCTGGATTGTATGGCAGTGTGGACTCTATTGCTGCTGGTGATTAACTGGCTTGTATGGCAGTGTAGACTTATACTGCTTCTGATGATAACCTGGATTATATGGCAGTGTAGACTCATATTGCCGCGGTGACAACCTGGATTATATGGCAGTGTAAACTCATATTGATGCTGGTGATAACCTGGATTATAGGGCAGTGTCGACTCTATTGCTGCTGGTGATAACCTAGATTATATGGCAGTGTGGACTCTATTGCTGTTGGTGATAACCTAGATCATACGGCAGTGTAGACTCATATTGATGCTGGTGATAACCTGGATTATAGGGCAGTGTCAACTCTATTACTGCTGGTGATAACCTAGATTATACGGCAGTGTAGACTCATATTGATGCTGGTGATAACCTGGATTATAGGGCAGTGTCGACTCTATTGCTGCTGGTGATTACTTGGCTTATATGGCAGTGTAGACTCATACTGCTTCTGATGATAACCTGGATTATATGGCAGTGTAGACTCATATTGCTGCGGGTGACAACCTGGATTATATGGCAGTGTAAACTCATATTGATGCTGGTGATAACCTGGAATATAGGGCAGTGTGGACTCTATTGCTGCTGGTGATAACTTGGATTATATGGCAGTGTAGACTCTACTGCAGCTGGATGGTGATTAATCAGCTCTGCTATAGCCCACGGGCCGGCTAGATCTCGCATTAGAGCTCCATAGCAGGCAGTTCTTGGTGCTTTGTCAAACTAAATATTTCATAATCACAGTCCGGTGGCCTACCAAGGCTCCCACCCGCTTGCCCCCCTTCCTACCCTCCATGGAGAAGAGGGTCCCAGGTGGGCTTCGGCACCTACCTTCTGCAGGTGGTCCCAGAGGTTACTATAGACGGTGTTTCCATAGGAATAGGTGTGGAGGTACGACTGTGGAGATAGGAAAGCCAAGGTGAGGAAGATTTCCTGAGAGGGAGGCGAAGGGTGGGGGTTCCCTGGTCTCATGGACGGGGCCTGGCATTCAGCCTTCTTCCAGCCCTAAGGCATGCCTCCTTGCACTGCATTTGTTTTGCTGGATGGGCCTCACCTGACCCAGAGCCTCACCTGCAGACCTCTCTTGAAGCGTTCCTCTGTGAGGAATTCGGAGAGCATCCTCAGCACTGAGGCTCCCTGTGGAGAGAGCAAACGAGGAAGGAAATCACAGTGAGGGGACATCATCCAATCCCACCCGACAGATAGCCATCCAGCTTCTGTTTAGAAACCCCAGGGAAGGAAGCTCCACCAGACTCCTGGGCAGTTTATATTCCAATTGAGGTGAAAGGTGTTACAGTAAGTTGTGGCAGGATCAAGTTTGTGTTAAAGAAAAACCGTATGATGTTAATTATTATGTACAGCTGGTAATGTAGGTCAGCCAGCATGTTTGGGCTACATCCGGTGGGGTATAGCTGTATGGATTTTAGAATACAGTTTGGAGAAGAAATATGCTGTAATGCTGCTATGTTCTAACAGCGATGCTCTTTGCTATGGTTGAATAGCTACTTACTCAAGGTTTATGTTTTGCTCTCTCATTTGAATGAAGATAAAGAAGCCTTATTCTGTGTTACTTACAAGGACTATGTAAGTTTGTTGCACTGTTTGATTTTGTTTGCAACATTGCAAGTTTATGCCTCTGCTGATAAGAGTAAAGTTTTTCTGTTCCTTTTTCCTCTTGTTTGTGTGTCTTTTGCATGGGACTTGGCTAAAATCCATTTCTGCACAACAAAAGGGACCCTCAAAGATCATCCAGACCCACCCACTTCTGCCATAAAGACACCACCCAATTGTTGGGGCATGTAATAAACAGCTGATGTGTGTGTCTTAAATGAAAATGCAAAGCACGAAGCTGATTTATTAGGCCATGCCCAAGCAGCTAGCCAAGCCTGGGACTTTTGGCAACAGTTACATATTTGAATTGAATACTCCATCAAACTTATCCATAGTCCTTTTCCAAGCCATTGTCAACACTGTCATTGTCCGCCTAATTACCCGAAGGCTTGGTCCCACATCCATATTTTAAACTTCTTTCTAAAGGTGAGGGGGGATGAGAATGACCTAATTTCCCCAAGGAGTGAATTCCACAGGCGGGGGGCCACCACCAAGAAGGCCCTGTCCCTGGTCCCCACCAAGCATGTTTGAGACAGCGACAGGGCCAAGAGCAAGGCCTCCCCAGAAGATCTTAAACTCCGAGGTAGGACGTAGAAGGAGATACATTTGGACAGGTACGCTGGTTGTACATATGTTGCTCTGCATTATGAACAGTAAACTTCTTGTTCTTTATTGATCATCTGCGTGGCATATCTTTTCTTTGGCAAGACTGGTCAAACGTCAACTACGCATGATTTTCATTTTGTCACACCAATTCCTTTCCAACACATGGAGGCATCAATCTGGTTGGATTCTCTGGCTCTGCTTCCCCAACAAAATGCTCCAGGTAAATGCACCCAAAGCCAAGGCCAAGGCCTTTGAGGCATTTCTATTACCCAGGAATTTTGTGTAATTGGCATCATAGTTCAGGGTTTGGGCTGGCAAACATACTGTCGTTCCCTCCTGGATTGCTGTTTTATTGTGTTTTATGGGGCTGATGTGTTTATCTTATCTCCGCGGGGTCAAGCGGCTGGTACAGAGTTATTTTTTCCCCCATAGGCTTATCACATCCTCTCACCTTGCTGTAGGCGATCGAGTCAAAGACTTCACTGATTTCAGCTGGGCTGTTGATCTCATTTTCAAGGAAGGAGAGCGGGTGTGAGGAGGCCAGCGCGTCAATGGCCATCACCCGGTACATTTCGTTGCTCACCATCAGGTCTTTCTGCAAACAAATGCAAACATGGCCTTTTCAGATCTGGAGCACGCATGAGCAAACTTGGGCCCTCCCTCCAGGTGTTTTGGACTTCAACTCCCACAATTCCTCACAGCCTCAGGCCCTTTCCTTTTCCCACTCAGCCGCTTAAGCAGGCTGAGTGAGGCTGTGAGGAATTGTGGGAGTTGGTCCAAAACACCTGGAGGGAGGGCCCAAGTTTGCCCATGCCCCCCTGAAGGATGCAGCCAGGTAAAAGTCACCAGTGAGTATTCGGATAGAAGAGGTATGAGCTCAGCTTTTTGAGGATGATAATGATGATGCTCCTAAAATCATAGGGCCATCTAGTCCAACCCCCTCCTGACATGCAGAAAAACCACAATCAAAACCCTCCCAACAGATGGCTGTCTGGCCTCTGTTTCAAAGTCAGAGCCCTGCTCCTCCCTCCACCCAAAACAGCACACAAAGGGGACGACTCACAATATTCCAGGTGGACTCCGCGGCATCTGCACCCAGGTATTCCACGTAGGACGCAAAGCCCTCATTCAGCCACAAGTCGTTCCACCAGCGGAGGGTCACCAGGTTCCCGAACCACTGCCGAGAGAAGGAGTGGGAGGAGGAGGAGGAGGAGGAGGAGAAGGAGGAAGAAGAAGAAGGTCAGTTGGCTGCTAACAGCCCAAGAGGCCAGGAGCCCACTTGCAGCAGCGCAGCTTGTCTCTCAGTGTGTCTTGGATCCAGCCTTTGCTTAAAAACCTCCAGAGAAGGGGATAGAAGGAGATAGATAGATAGATAGATAGATAGATAGATAGATAGATAGATAGATAGATAGATAGATAGGCTCCTGGAGTCGGGAAAGGCCACAAGGGCCATCCCGTCCATTGTATAAGAGAGAGATGGAAGGAAGGAAGGAAGGAAGGAAGGAAGGAAGGAAGGAAGGGAGGGAGGGAGGGAGGGAGGGAGGGACCAAGGGAGAGAGATAGGATCCTAGATTTGGGAGAGACCATAAGGAACATCTAGTCCATTCAATAAGAAATAGACGATAGATAGAAGGTAGGTAGGTAGGTAGGTAGGTAGAGAGATAGATAAGATCCTAGTGTTGGGAGCGACCACCATCTAGTCCATCCTATAAGAGATAGATGATAGATATATGATAGATAGATAGACAGACAGATAGATAGGATCCTAGCATTGGGAGAGACCTCAAGGGCCATCTAGTCCATCCTATAAGAAAGAGAGAGAGAGAAAGAGTGCGGGAGGATACTAGAGTTGGTAGAGACCTCAAGGGCCATCTAGCCCATCCTATAAGAAAGAGAGAAAAAGAGAGAGAGAAAGGATGGTAGTTGGGACAGACCACAAGGGCTATCTAGTCCATCCTGTAAGAGATAGATAGAAGACAGACAGACAGATAGATAGACAGATAGGATCCTAGAGTTGGCAGAGACCATAAGGGCCATCTAATCCATCCTATAAGAGAGAGAGGATCCTAGAGTTGGGAGAGACCATAAGGGCCATCTAGTCCATCCTATAAGAGAGAGAGGATCCTAGAGTTGGGAGAGACTTTAAGGGCCATCTAGTCCATCCTATAAGAGAGAGGGAGAAAGAGAGGGGGAAAGGATCCTAGAGTTGGGAGAGACCACAAGGGCCATCCAATCCATCCTATAAGAAATAGCTAGAAGATAGATAAATAGATAGTCAGGCAGATAAATAGATAGGATCCTTAAGGTAGTGGGAATTCTCTGGTCAGGAGTGGTCACCCTCTAGAGTGCCTTCGTATCTGCCACTGTGCCATTAGCAAACCCATTCTCTACATCAAAGAGGTAGAAAGTCACCAGCAGGTTTTCATTCAGTTGTTGGTTCCTTAAAAGTCTCAGATAATAGTACAATCTCTGCTAGGCCTTCTTCACCAATGCATCCACAGTAGGAACGCTGCCCCAGCTCAGATCTTCCTGAACAATGTAGCACCCAGGAACTCCATTGATTTGATCTCCATTAATGTCTGACCTATTCCTTCTGTGATCTAATCTAAGCTTCTTGGTCTTGTTGCTGTTAAGAACCCAATTATGGTCCCGATGCACCTCGGATGGGCGTACCTGATGGGCGAGTTCGTGAGCGATGACTGTCAACACCCGCTCCTTGTTTCCAATGGAGGAAAAGTTGGCGTCAAAGAGCAGGGCACTTTCCCGGTAGGTCACCAGCCCCCAGTTCTCCATGGCACCAGCATTGAAATCGGGGAGGGCCACCTGGTCTGTGCAAGTAAGGGAGAGAGGGTTTGGATGGGGAATGCCTCAGGGAGCTTCTAGCTAGGTAAAGGCCTTCTCTCAAGTCTCCCTTTTCCCGCTTTGACATCCCAGAAAACTTTGGCATCCCAGACACCCCATGGTCCCATGTTAAAATGCAACTTCACACCACTCAAGTCTGTAGTCCGCAATGAGGAACAGATAGATTAAATTAAGCTTGACCCCTTCTTTCCCCTTCGTTCCTAAATGCCTTTTGTTGTTCTGCTTTTGCTCACTCTCCTTCCTTCCTCCTCCCATCCTAAGTGATGATGCAGAATGGATGTTCTTATGTTTTGAAACTTTAAAGACTGAACTCTGCATCTTGCTACCTTAAGCTCAAAAATTATTGATAGCCACACTATATTGCTTTCACTTGCTGTGAATGTAATGCTCTACTACAGTGTTTCTCAACCTGGGGGTTGGGACTCTGGAGGGGGGTCATGAGGGGGATGTCAGAGGGCTCACCAAAGACCATCAGAAAACACAGTATTGTTTTCTGATGGTCATTGGGGTTCTGTATGGGAAGTTTGGCCCAATTGTATTGTTGGTGGGGCTCAGAATGCTCTTTGATTGTAGGAAAACTATAAATCCCCGCAACTACAACTCCCAAATGTCAAGGTCTATTTTCCCCAAACTCCACCAGTGCTCACATTTGGGCATATTGAGTATTTGTGCCAAGTTTGGTCCTGATCCGTCATTGTTTGCGTCTACAGTGCTGTCTGGATGTAGGTGAACTACAACTCCAAAACTCAATGTCAAGGCCCACCAAACCCTTCCAGTCAGTCATGACAGTTCTGTGTGACAAGTTTGGTTCAGTTCCATCATTGATGGACTTCAGAATGCTCTTTCACTGTAGGTGAACTATAAATCCCAATAACTACAACTCCCAAATGACAAAATCAATCTCCCCCAGTATTCAGATTTGGGTGTATCGGGTATTTGTGCCAATACACCCAAATCTGCATAGCAGATATGGAATGAAAATACATTCTGCATAGCAGATATTTACATGATGATTCATAACAGTAGCAAAATTACAGCTATGAAGTAGCAATGAAAATAATTTTCTGGCTGGGGGTCACCACAACATGAGGAACTGTATTAATGGGTCGTGGCTTTAGGAAGGTTGAGAAACACTGCTCTACTAAGTGTGTATATGTGTGTGTGTATATATAGATTTAGAAACACTGCTCTACTAAGTGTGTATATGTGTGTGTGTGTGCATATAGTGTGTGTGTGCATATAGATTTTAGACAAAGTCGAGCAGCAGCCAGGCTGCTCTACTAAGTGTGTATATGTGTGTGTGTGCATATAGTGTGTGTGTGCATATAGATTTTAGACAAAGTCGAGCAGCAGCCAGGCTGTACAGAATCAGAGGGAGTAACAAGTATACATGTTTGCACAACTAACAGAAGATGAAAGATTGAAGTTGAATACATTGAAACACGAAACGCTACACTTATAACTAAGTGAAATAAACAGAAATGAGATGTTACTTCCAATTAATATACTAATTCTGTCTTCTCTTTGTAAAACAGTATTATTTTTACATATAATCCAATACTGCATATTTTGCCTCCTTGAAGGATATTTTTGAAATGTATACATGCTAATAATTATGGTCTTGCATAGCATTAATCCAGTGCTACTGCACTTAGTTCCACAGTTGTAGGGTTGTTTTCTCCTGGCTAGTTTTTCCTTAATGTTCAATTATACAATAATAAGTCAACACATGAATAAGTCTCCTAAATTCAATGGGTATATTCCAGTTAGGCTTAGCGACAGAATTCAGGCCAGTTTTTCAAATTGCCAGTTTGCTCACCCTACACCAGGCATGGGCAAACTTGGTCCCTCCAGGTCTTTTGGTCTTCAACTCCCACAATTTTTAACAACCTCATGTCACAAAAAAAATGATGTGCAGATTTGATAAATGTGGATTTGATATGTGTGGGTATGAATGGAGTTGTATGGGAGACAAATTAATGGAAGAGAGTTCATAATTTTGGAGACACCATTCTAAAAGATTAAGGTCTTTAATGACTAAATCATTAACTGCCTGCTTGCTGGATAGTAATTAAAAGTTGCTAATGAGAACTGAAAAAGTAAACTGTGATAAGAACTGTGAAAGCGATGAGAGAAATGTTTACAGTATTAAAAAGGAAGTCAACACAAGGCTACCACTAATCAAGAAGAGTCAACATCTGTCCGGAAACTGAGATGGAGCCAGGATGTTTCAGGATGGAAAATGTCTAACAGTAATTTACAACTTTGGGACAACATTAGCAAAATATTCCTATAAAAGACTCAATAATTTTCAAGTGTGACAGACCAGAGGAGTCTGGCTCACCTGCTATGCTCTATGGGAAGGAGAGAGATAGTGTATATATGTCAGCTCTGCTATGGGAAAGCAGGATTCTGGACATTTGCTCCTTTTGTCAAGGGAAGAGGAAGGAGTGTGATTTTGGAGTCATGATACGTTTGCAGGGAGTCGGTTTCTGGTGCAGGGAAAACACAGATCTGATCCTTGGCATTTTGACATTTTTGTAGTTATGGAAGCTTTAGAACTGTGCATTGGCAGGCTGCATATAAGCAGGGTCTGGCCTAACAGGCGTGCTTCTCCAAGGAGGGAGAAAAGGATAGAGTAATATTTGTATGCATGGTGATAGATACATGTACATGTGTGTGAATGCTGAGTAAAAATGTAACCCTCCCTTGTTTGTTTGTTTGTTAGCCAATGTAACTGTAAGTTGTTGTAAATCTAATGTAGTTACATAGAATCTGCATGTCTGTATGTCCAGTGCAACCAATAGTGAAAGGACCAAGACAGTGACATCTCCACTTCAGATATCAGCCAGCACGCCAATGGCTTAAATCAAGAAATAGTTTTTTAAGATCTACAGAGACACTTGCTGAAGCACCTCAGTAAGTGAGAGTCCAGAAGTGGCAGGCTCAAACCCAGAACCTCAATCAATGGCTGATACCAGATGAGAGACTCCCTCCTGGGCACACAGAAGATGGAGCGACTTGGAAGGCGTGGAACAGACAACGCTCTGGCACCACGAGATGCAGAACCAACCTCAAGAAATGGGGCTTCAAAGTGGAGTCCATGACATGCGAGTGTGGAGAAGATCACAGACCACCTATTACAATGCAACCTGAGCCCTGCCACATGCACAACGGAGGACCTTCTTATAGCAACACCAAAGGCACTCCAGGTGGCCAGCTACTGGTCAAAGGACATTTAATAGAATGCCAAGTTTGCAAACTTTGTTTGTTTGTTTGTTTTAAATACAATACTACTGTTTGGTTCGCTCCTGATACGATAAATATTCATGCCCTTTCCTTTTTCTCTTCAACTCTTAAACGGAAAGGGAAAGGAAAAAGGAAAAGGAAGGGACCCAAGGTTGTTAGGAATGGTGGGAGTTGAAGTCCAAAACACCTGGAAAGCCCAAGTTTGCTCAGGTCTGACCTATACTGTAGCTTCTTTGCTGTTTGGTTATTCTTACGCATTCAATAAATACAATGCTGTTTTGTAGGGGAATTTCCCTCACACCGCTAGCCATTGTAAGATGTCCCTCTCCACCGGACCTGACCTACCTGACTTCTGCAGTGGGTAAGCCGTGTTGTAGTGCCTCTCAAAGAAGCTGAGGATGGGTCCCGTGACTTGTAGGGCATAGTCACCGTGTCCCTCCGCGATGGCCTTGGGGCGGCCCCAGATCCGGATCTGCAAGAGAGCAGGACTGGCTCAGTCGGGGGCTGCCCATGAATAGCAGGGGCCCTTCCTCATCCTTACTTACCAGGGTACCATTCTGGGAAGCATTCACTGACTCAAACTGGCTGACAATGAAAGCGAGCAGGTAGGTGGACATTTTGAGGGTCGGGAGAAACTCGGTCCTGTTCCACAACTGGCCATCCTCCATTGTCATCTGTATCGTATCTGGAGGGAGAGGAGGGTTGACTAGATGTCCTTTGGGAGTCCCTTCTGGCTCTATGATTCTAAGTCAGACATGGGCAAATTTGGGTCCTCCTCCAGGTTTTCTGGGCTTCAATGCCCACCATTCCTAACAACAGGAATTGTGGGATTTGAAGTCCAAAACACTTGGGGGAGGGCCGAAGTTTGCCCATGCCTGTTCTAAAGGGCTAGCTTAGAGCTGCCAGGTTGGCACAGTTGTGTCTCCCCTCCCAAATAACACTATGTAACACATTTTTTTCCTGGGCTATACATGCCATTTCCGCTGTCAGCCCTAGCTTCTGCCCACCTAGCAGTTCGAAAACATGCAAATGTGAGTAGATCAATAGGTACTGCTCCAGCAGGAAGGTAATGGCACTCCATGCAGTCATGACCTTGGAGGTGTCTATGGACAATGCCAGCTCTTCAGCTTAGAAATGGAGATGGGCACCACACCTCAGAGTCAGACATGGCTGGACTTAAAGTCAGGGGACAACCTTTACCTTTTTACTATCATAAAAACATTGGAAAAGTTTATTAAACTGCCAAAACTTTGTTTCTTCAGGAGAGACATCCTGCTATAGCACATTTAGCAATAGTTTTTCATTGGATGTCTCTTCATAGAGACTCAACCAATCGCAGAATTGTTTGTGGCAGCTCCAAAAATGAAGTTTCTGGAGTATGACAACTACTTTCAAAGTAAGGCCCACACAGTGAAACAGGAAATCACACTTTCAAACCAGGAACAAAACCTAAAGGTGGGCATCAAGCATTTGTTGAAAGACTTCCAACGAATCTTCGTTTGAAGCATTTCTAACTCATAGAAGCCATCAGATAGTGTGAGGTTTGCAGAATGGTTTCCTGGTTCATTTGTTATTGTACTTTGTGTATGTCGTTGTTGACGTGTGTTTTGATCTAGTTTTGCAACTTTTAGCAAGAGGCAGGTGTGTTGTTTTAGCCTTATTTATTATGCAAGGTTGCTTCTTTGAATCCTTATGATGGGAAACAGATGGGAAAGCCTTCACCTCTGTTTATGTCTTGTCTGTCCTTGTTACTTGTATAATGGCATTGAATGTTGGCCATATATGTGTTCTGTAATCCGCCCTGAGATAGAGCAGAATATAAATAAAGTATATTATTATTAGTAAAGGTTTTCCCCTGACATTAAGTCCAGTCGAGTCATCTCCATTTGTAAGCCGAAGAGCTGGCGTTGTCCATAGACACCTCCAAGGTCATGTGGACTGCTTGAAGCATTGTTACCATCCCGTAGAAGCGGTACCTATGATCTACTCACATTTGCATGTTTTCAAACTGCTAGGTTGGCCGAAGCTGGGCCTAACAGCGGGAGTTCACCCTACTCCCTGGATTCAAACAGGCAACCTTTCGGTCAACGTGCTCATCAGCTCAACAGTGTAACCTACTGTGACATTGTGGGCACATTGTTATTATTATTTGTTCTTGATTGTTTTGTTTCCTTCTAAATAAAAAAAAGTTACACACACGCACACACACATATAAGCATTATACCTCACCATTGAGCCAAAAGGTCTCTCCTGGAGCGGGGAAAATAGTTCTGTGCCCCATGGCCAAAAGACCCGCCTCGCAACAATAACATTATTTATTTATTTATTTACAGTATTTATATTCCGCCCTTCTCATCCCGCAGGGGACTCAGGGTGGATTACAATCTACACATATATGGCAAACATTCAATGCCAAAGACACACAGCACATATAGACAGATAGTCAGAGGCTATTTAACTTTTCTGGCCACCAGGGGAGCTGTCGCTTTCATCATCCATCTATGACACTGATGAAGTACTTCTGCATTCCCCGCATGCTTTTGCTGGAGTCTTTTTTTATGGCCTCGTAAATTAGTTAAATTAGCCTCCCCACACATAGGTGGTACCTAATTTTCCTACTTGAGAGATGAAACTGTCTTTCGGGTTGCAAAGGTCAACAACAAGCTACACAATTGGTTGGAAGCTCACTCCGACCCGGGCTGGCTTCGAACTCATGACCCTTTGGTCAGAAGTTATCTTAAAGCAGCTGACACTCAGACAGCCATGCCACAGTCCCGGTATATAGTGAGGCAACAAGGAGCCCCCGGTGGCACAGCGGATTAAATCACTGATCTGTTGGACTTGCTGACCGAAAGGTCAGTAGTTCGAATCCAGGAAGCAGGTTGAGCTCCCGCTATTAGCTACAGCTTCTACCAACCTAGCAGTTTGAAAACATGCAAATGTCAGTAGATCAATAAGTATTGCTCTGGTGGAAAGGTAACGACACTTCATGCAGTCATGCCAGCCACATGACTTTGGAGGTGTCTACGGACAACACCGGCTCTTTGGCTTAGAAATGGAAATGAGCACCAACCCCCAGAGTTGGACACAATTGGACTTAATGTCAAGGGGAAATATTTACTTTACCTATTGAGGCAACAACAAATCCTAAAGCTCTTATGAAGCCTTACCACTTTTGACCCCAGTAACCTAGTTATTACCAATTCAAAGGTAATGCCACTTTGTTTGTACAGGACTGTGGAATCAGTCTTCCCAAAACCAGAGTGATCAAAGGACAAGGAGCTGAGTTTGGGGGGAGGGATTCACCCTCAAAGCATCCTTCGCCCAACGTCTCTCAGCCTCAGGTCCTTATTCAGTAAGCATCAACTGCAGAAGAGTTTCTGCAGCAATMAACTACAGTAATAATGCGCTCAAAATGTGCCATCAAAGCAGATTTAAGCAGGGGGACAATGGGGTGCAGCCCACCCCACACTGGGTCCCCCCACCCCCTCTCTTCCCTCTCTCTGCCTCCCCCCCCCCCACGGTTTCCTTACTGGAGACTGGCATGTTGGAGAGCGCCACATGATCGGAAGGGTGGATCAGGACCACGGTGAAGGTGGCCTTCATGGCAGGTTCGTCGAAGCAAGGGAAAGCCTTTCGGGCATCGGCCGCCTGCATCTGTGTGGTGGCCACCACCCTGCAAAAGAGAAGAGGAAAGACATATTGTGAGAGATGTGGCTTTGGTCTTTGGATTGACGGGGATCAATGAAGTGACAGGCTATGATCAATTCAAAGGACGTACATGCATTAGGCTGGGATGTTGGCATACAAAGGGACTTCGTAGTACCTTTGAGGTCAAGTTTTCATAGATGTGCATCTACATCGTCAACTAATCACAATGACCGAGATATGTAACACGTTTTTTGTTCCTGGGTTATAAGTATCATTTCCTAATTGGTTCTAATTAAAAACATGGGAAACGTTTATTAAACTGCACAAACTTTGTTTGTGTAGGAGGGACAACCTGCAATATATTTGGCGATATTATTCCAATTTATCTCTTATCATCAGGTCTGATTCAATTCAATATAGTTTGTGACAGCCACAAAAACAAAGTTTCTGGAGTAGAACAACGACTTTCAAAGTAAAGGTTGCACAATTAAACAGGAAAGAACACTTTCAAACCAGGAGCAGAACGTTTTTCATATTCTGTTGCATAGTATTGTAAGCAACCATCCCAGAAAAAGAGTCATCCCATGCCTTGGGTGGCCTGGTCACCCTTAAGGCAATGGACTCTTGTTTTCATTGTGTTGCTCACAAAGTGGTCACTGACGCCCTCACAAAACCTGGCCCAACAGAAAGGAAGAAACCATGAAAATGAACATAATTTAGTTACCAGTATTGAAAAACACTAGAATCAAGACAGTGGCTAGTAAACGCCACCCAGACACAGGAGGTCTCCAGGCTGCAAGCGCTCAAGTGCCAGTGACTGCCACTCAGGCCAGGGAGGTCTCCAGGCAGCAAACAATTCAGAAGGAATGAAGGCCAGGCTATTTCTATGCAGATGGCCTAAGGTAAAGGTTTTCCTCTGACATTAAGTCTAATCATGTCCGACTCTGTTGGTTGGTGCTCATCTCCATTTCTAAGCGGAAGAGCCGGCATTGTCCATAGACACATCCAAGGTCATGTGGCTGGCATAACTGCATAGAGAGCCTTTACCTTCCTTCCAAGGCAGTGACATCTCCGGCCCATCCTCTGTTTGGGTATCAGCCAACACGACAATGACTTAAATCAAGAAATAGTTTTCTAAGATCTACAGAGACACTCGCTGGAACACCCCAGCAAGCAAAAGTCCAAAAGTGGCAGGCTCAAACCCAGAACCTCAATCAATGGCTGAAACCAAATGAGAGACTCCCTTCTGGGCACACAGAAAACTGGGTGACTTGGAAGGTGCTGAACAGACTGCACTCTGGCACCACAAGATGCAGGGCCAACCTTAAGAAATGGGGCTACAAAGTGGAATCCACGACATGCGAGTCTGGAGAAGGGCAAACCACAGACCACCTACTGCAATGCAACCAGAGCCCTGCCACATGCACAGTGGAGGACCTTCTTATAGTAACAGCAGAGGCACTCCAAGTAGCCAGCTACTGGTCAAAGGACATTTAATAGAATACCAAGTCTGCAAATTTTGTGTTTTGTTTGCTTGTTTGTCTGTTTTTTAATGCAATACAACTGTTTTGGTTCTCTCCTGACATGATAAATAAATAACCTTTCTGCAAGGCGGTACCTACTGATCTACTTACATTAGCATGCTTTTGAACTGCTAGGTTGGCAGAAGCTGGGGCTAACAGCGGGAGCTCAGTCTGCTCCCTGGATTCGAACCACTGACCTTTTGGTCAGTAAGTTCAGCAGCCCAGTGGTTTAACCCACTGCACCACACAGATGCCCTACTCACATGCTAATGGGTGGATCTCACTAATGGGTGGATCTCACTCAACACATAAAAATCCAGCCTGCTAATTGCACCCTTCACACTTGTTTAACAGACAATTGTTCTTTCCTCCCACCCTGGACATTATTACACAGGTATCTATACTCCACTTGCTTTTCCACCATAAAATCCTCTGAAGATGCCAGCCACAGATGCAGGTGAAACATTAGAAGGAGAAAATGCTGTTAGAATATGGCCAGACAGTCTGGAAACTATACAGCACCCCAGTGATTCTGGCCATGAAAGTCTTTGACAGAACTTCCCATGTTGTTACTTTGGGATCCTCCGGTGTTCCCCTTCCTCCTTGCCTCTACTCACAGCCCCCTTCCCTCCATTGCATCCCTCCTGTTCACTTACTTGGTCTTGCCGTCCTCCTGGTACTCGCTGCGGTAGAAGCCGGCCAGGTCGTCGGCCAGTTCCCCCGTGAAGGTGGTGTGCATCTCATAAGACTTGCCCTGCTCAAGGTTCCCTGCCAGCTGCACTACCAGGTACTCGGTGTCCTCTTGGATCCAGGTCTGAGTGATGGTGGGTACTGCGGCACCATCCACCCCACTCAGGGACACCAGGAACCCCGTCTGGTCAGTGTAGTTGAGCTTTTTGCTGTGGATGAGGATCAGGTTGGTGGGTGTGAGGCACACAAACCGGACGGTGCTGTTCCCCTGGAAGATGTAGAGACCCCGGTCATCTGGGGTCAGGAAGGGCTGCAGGCTGACTGTGTAGTGACTTGGTTCTAGGGTTTTGGGCAGTCGCAGCTTGTTCCAAGGGTTACTTGGAGCAGATGTGGTAGGACTGGGAGTAGAGCCAGATCCAGGGATTGTTCCGGAGGGTTTTGTGGTTGTGGGCCCAGCTGTCGACGTTGTTGTTGTTGTTGTTGTTGTGGTGGTGGTTGTGGTGGTGGTGGTGGTGGTGGGTTTCGTCGTAGTGGCTGCACTGGACAGTGAGGCATTCTTTTGCTTCTCCTCTGAGTAAACCACAGAGAGGGCGATGATGGTGGCCACTGCGGCCACTCCCAGCACGATGCCCACGATGCCCAGCGTCTTGCTGATGAAGAAGCCCTTGGCCATGGCTACGGAATAGAGCTGTGCTGAGCAAGAAATGGCTTTGAACACACCGTGGCTTTATGTATTTGATCACCCAAATGGCTAGTCAATCATTAAACTATCAAGAGAGAGAGGTGTGCAGCTGAGGAGGTTGTGGCCACTTCCCTTCCTTTGCCCCGACGATGAGAGAATGCCAGTTGGGCACGGGATGTCCGTCTTCTGTCCCTGCAGAAAGAAAGCGGTCAGTGGCTCCAAAAAGTGGCCGGCTTTCCTGCCTCTCCCTCCTCTTTAGATCTTTCCCCCCTATTATTATTTCCAAAGTGTACACATTATAACTATTGGTATATAATGCTGGCATGGACCAACTTCGGATCTCCCTCCAGGTGTTTTGGACTTCAACTCCCACAATTCCTAACAGCCTGCCAGCTGTTAGGAATTGTGGGAGTTGAAGTCCAAAACACCTGGAGGGAGATCCGAAGTTGGTTGTGCCTGATATAAAGCCACCCATTAACAGTAGTAAATTTCCCACCTTCTAATAATAGCAAAACACATGTATCCTAATTGAAAGAAAACTTCCCAATCCTACACCAGGATTAGAGGCTTAGAATATTTTTGTACAATCAAAGCTCTTAACAAGAAATGTATATTAAAATAGATACATTATTATTATTATTAATAATAATAATAATAATTTATCATAATCTTGGTCTTCTTTCTGTCAATGTATTTTTAGTCACTCAATGCCATCATTAAATATTCTACCGATATATTCTGCGAAAGGTTTCTAATTATTTTGAAAACATTGAATTCTTTATTAAATTCTGCAAAGTTTCACAGTTTGCTTAACATTCTCAGTCTTTCCTTCGCTTTCTGCCTCTGAAAGACAAGAAGAAGGGGAGGAAAGGAAAGGGCACGGAGGGGACATGGGGAGAACCTTCTTCCTCCCGGCCTGCCCACCCTGCTCCAGCCCACCATGCAGCCCGCAAGTTAGAAAGTTTGCCCATGTTCGTCTTATCACTTCATCACATTTACTAAATTCCGCTGAGTTCTACACTTAAAATGTGGTAAGCCACTGTGTTCATCGCACTGGGTTGGGTTCAAGTGTATTTTAAGCATGGGGGCCAGCATTCTTTTCAAACGTTTCAGGAGATGGTGGGGAAGTGGATGTTTGGTAAAGATCCGGATGTTTGGCCAGTTCTGTAATGTGACGGCATTCGTTGCTCTCAGGTTTAAAATGAAACGTTTCCCCAATTTGTGAGAGCGAAAATTGTGGGATGAGACAAAAGTACCCTTGTTAGGGAAAGTTCCACCATTACCTTTCGTTTACTGAGGTTTTTTACTTTAAATGCCATTATTATTATTATTATTATTATTATTATTATTATTATTATTATTATTATTTGAAACACAACAAGATGAGTCCACAGCAGACACTCTGCTGGCTGTTGCATTGGATCACACTTCCCAAGTGTTTAGGACTGTGTGATGTATCAGCGAATAATGCGTGTAGATCCCAGTAAGGTGGCCTTCTGCAGCTGGCAGATGGTAGTTTTGTCAGCTCCAATTGTGTTTAAGTGCAGGCCAAGGTATTTAGGCACTGCACCCAGTGTGTCGATCACCACTGGGACCACCTTTACTGGCTTGTGCCAAAGTCTTTGCAGTCTTTAAATCCTCATATCATGTCAGCTTTTCCAGTTTTTTCTCTTCAAACCTGATTGCAACATCATCATCATCATCATCATCATCATCATCATCATCATCATTATGCCATGTCTCTATGCTGTGCAGTCATGGGAGTCATAATTTTCCAAAGTCCATACCCTTCTCTTGGTGCATTGGTGCATTTATGAAATGAATGCCCTTGCACCCCTTTAAATGCCATGGCTCCACGTGATGGAGTCCTCCTAGGAGTTATAGTTTCCCAAGGTCCATACCCTTATCTAAGTGCATCTACACTGTGGAATGAATGCAGCTGGACCTTACTTTAAATGCCATTCCTCCATGAGATGGTCTTGAGAATCGCAATTTCCCAAGGTCCATCAACTTCTCTGGGTGCATCTACACTGTGAAATGAAGGCTGCTGGACCTTACTTTAAATACGATAGCTCCATACTATGCAGTCCTGGGAGTTATAGTTTTCCAAGTTCCACACCCTTCTCTGTGGGGCAGCCGAGAGAGAGAGAGAGAGAGAGTGCATCACTGCTTTTCCTCCCTCCCTCCCTGCTTCCAGAATTTAAGACCCATAATAGCTGACATTTCAAAGAGCAGAGTTTTTCCCCCACAAAGAACACAGGAGAAGGATGGCGGGCAGTGCCTAGCGATTACAGTGTGATGGGAAATGAACTGAAAGAATGCTGAGTACAACTGAGTAACATGGATACATTTAATAGTATGGTGAAGGTTAGGGTTAGGGTCATGGGGGATGTAGTTTCACAAGATCCTGAGCCTTTTCTACCAAAAGGATGTGGATGCCTCACCTAACTACAAATCCCTGGATCACATCGCATTGAGCTGTGGCCATTGAATGGGAGATGATATCCCTCAAAGAGGAGCTCCCGATGCAGCTTCCCCTTTTGCTTTGCCTCAGCACTAAGATTTATTTATTCATTCATAGAATCCTTAAGAGATCTGGTGGGCCATCCAGTCCAACCCCCTGCCAAGAAGCAGGAAAACTGCATTCAAAGCACCCCCAACAGATGGCTGTCCAGCCTCTGTTTCAAAGCCTCCAAAGAAGGGGCCTCCGCCACACTCCAGGGCAGAGAGTGCCACTGCTGAACAGCTCTCATCATTAGGAAGTTCTTCCTCATGTTCATGCCCCCCTCTTCACCTTCAAACTTAGAGCCAGAGCCCTGTGGTCATAGAATCATAAAATCATAGAGTTGGAAGGGAATCATAGAGTTGTTCAGGTGGAATCTCCTGTCTTTCCTATAGTTTGAAGCCATTGCTCCATTGCATCCTAGTCTCCAGGGCAGCAGAAAACAAGTCTGCTCCCTCCTCCCTATGACTTCTTCTCACATATTTATACCTGGCCCTCATGATGTCTCCTCTAAACCTTCTCTTCTGCAGGCTAAACATGCCCAGCTCTTTAAGCCACTCCTCATAGGGCTTGTAGTCCAAACCTTTGATCCTTTGAGTCGCCCTCCTGTGGACACTTTCCAGCTTGTCAACATCTCCTTTCCATTGTGGTGCCCAGAATTAGACACAGTGTGATTCCAGGTGTGGTCTGAGCAAGGCAGAATAGAGGGGGAGCATGACTTCCTTGGATCTATTCATACCTGAGGGCCCGCTTATCCCCCTACCAACCCCAGAGATTACTTCGGTCCGAAGACCAAAATTTTCTTGAAGTCCCCAACATCCGGACTTATCATCTGTCCTCTACTAGGCAGAGAGCCTACTCGATTGTAGCCCCTTATTTATGGAATGCCTTGCCAGTTGAAACCCAAACTATCCGAGACCTACTTGCTTTTCGGAAAGCATGTAAAATCTTTCTCCTCCGACAAGCTTTTGATGGGTGATTAACTCAGGACTATGTCTGTTCTTGTTTTTATTGTATTTTAAAGTTAATTGTATTGTTTTAATCTACTGCTGTAAACCGCTCTGAGCCAAATTGGGAGTAGCGGTATACAAGTCAAATAAATAAATAAATGTTTCTTTCTACCCTGCCTTTCTCAACCCTGCAGGGGATTCAAGGCGGCTTTCAGAATCCAGCAGACAAATGTCAGCATGCTGGAAGAAGCAAAGACCACCAGCATTGAAGCAATGGTCCTCTGGCATCAACTCCGCTAGACTGGCCACATTGTCTTGATGCCCGACCACCGTCTCCCAAAGCAGTTGCTCTACTCCGAACTCAAGAACAGAAAACGGAATGTTGGTTGGCAGGAAAAGAGATTTTAAAATGGCCTCAAAGTCAACCTTAAAAACTCTGGCATAGACACTGAGAACTGGGAAGCCCTGGCCCTTGAGCGCTCCAGCTGGAGGTCAGCTGTGACCAGCAGTGCTGCAGAATTTGAAGAGGCACGAATGGAGGGCGAAAGAGAGAAATGTGCCAAGAGGATGGCGCATCAAGCCAACCCCGACCGGGACCGCCTTCTACCTGGAAATCAATGCCCTCACTGTGGGAGAATATGCAGATCAAGAATAGGTCTCCACAGCCACCTAGGACCCACCCCCAGTACACTGATCTTGGAAGACAATCCTACTCGGACAACGAGGGATCGTCTAAGTAATCTAAATACAGAATCCAGCAAAATTCAATGCCTCATGAACACAACAATAAAACACATTTTATTATGTGACTCTAATGTGCACCTTAATTTTTGGCAAGGTCATTTAGCCTGAAAAGATTACCATCAAAGTCGAGTAAATAGAGTAATTGAAATGCAACGATTATGAGTAAAGGGTGCCATTGCCCACTTTGATGCCCAAGCCTGGTGCTCCTCCTGCACTTCCATACCTGCTTGCCCACCTAAGCAGCCAAAGCAAGTAAGGATCCTTTCCCAAAAGCCTCACCTGCTGCCAAGGTAAGATAGGTGTTCCACAGGTCCTTGTGTGCCCAAGCCAGGCTTATGCTTGAACGTGTGGGGCCCCGGCTATAGCCCTAAAGAGGCCCCATTCTTTGCTGCCCTCTACTTTGGGCAGGACGGCTGCCCCTCTGCAAGGTTCCTGCAAGACTTTGGCCTTTGAGGACGGCTTTCCCTGCCTGCGTTTCCTCTTGCAAAGTGCTCCTTCAGGTTTGACGTTGCTGAATTACAGCCACGTTAATTTTAAACAATGTCCTTGGAAAACGCACTGGCGCCTGCCCAAAAGGACCTTTCAGATGGCCCACAGATGGGAACAGCCTGCACCGGGAGCAATTGCTTTCCTGGATGAGCAGCCCCAGTATCCCTGGCCATTCTCTCCCAAGACTGTATTGACTCGAATCTAATGCTCATCTTTTGGGGCTAATTGGCCTTCCCAAAATTAGAGTGTGTGTTAGATTCACATAATATGGTAATATTAGTGTTGAGCCAAAGCAAAAAGAGAAGCTACTTCACGAGCTGTTCTTTAAGGATATCTTCTCTAATTGAATTGCCATGACTCCATGCTATGCAATGCTGGGATTTGTAGTTTGGTGAGACACCAGCATTCTGTGGCAGTCCCTATAATCTTTGGTCCTCTTAACACTTTTGTTTTTAAAGAAGGATTTTTTGTTTTTAAAGAAGGATTTCAAAGCCACTGTAATGCACACCTTTTTTGGCCAAATTACAAATAGAGCACTTTGGGCTGCCTTTTGCACATGACATTTGGCAGCAAATACTTTTTCTTTTTTTCTTTTTTTCTTTTTTTTTGTTTCAGGGTTTTGGAAATGGAGTTGCGCATTGGATTCGATGGCACATGAGACTCGAGGCAATGCAGTACTCCTATTCCGACTTTGAAAGAATCCACATAAAGATAGTTCCAATTTCAAATTCAGGAGCAGATCAGAAACGTGAGAATAATAATAATAATAAAGGCCAAGGTCTTTAGGCACTACACCCAGTGTGCCGATCACCACTGGGACCACCTTTACTGGCTTGTGCCAGAGTCTTTGCAGTTCAATCTTTAAATCCTCATATTGTGTCAGCTTTTCCAATTGTTTTTCTGCAATCCTGCTGTCACCTGGGATTGCGACATCAACTATCCATACTTTGTTTTTTAAACCGATTGTGAGGTCAGGAGTGTTGTGCTCCAGAACTCTGTCTGTCTGAATCCGGAAGTCCCAGAAGAGTTTGGCGTGTTAATTCTCTGTAATTTTTTCAGGCTTGTGATCCCACCAGTTCTTTGTTGCAGGCAGATGGTATTTGTGGCGCGATTTTCAATTAATCATCTGAGCAATGGTGTTATGCCTCTGCTTGTAGTCTGTCTGCACGATCTTCTTGCAGCAGCTCAGGATGTGATCTATTGTTTCATCTGCTTCCTTGCAGAGTCTACATTTGGGATCTGTCACCGACTTTTCAATTCTGGCTTTGATGGCATTATTATTATATTTATATTTATAACCTGCTTTATCTCCCCAGTCAAAGCGGCTTGGCATAAAAGCAATGGTATCCAATTTAAAATATTTATTTATTTATTTAAAATATTTATATTCCGCCCTTCTCACCCCAAAGGGGATTCAGGGCAGAGCACAACATACAAATGGCAAACATTCGATGCCGGGACATGAATTCATTATATGGAAATATACAAACATTAAAACAGAATTAAACACAATCAGCATTTAAAAATTCAGTTAAAAACTATCAAAATATATTCAAAGTTAGAAACCATAGCATCCCATGACTAGAACTTATACATCTTCATCTTTAAATGCCTGATTTAAAAAGGTTTTATTCCTGAGGTTGTTTGTCATTGAATGTTTGCCTGGTTTTTTTGTTTGTTTGGTTTTTTTTGTACTGTAAACTGCCCTGAGTCCCTTTTTGGGAGAGCAGTGCAGTCTAGAAATGATGTTGTAGTTGTTAAGGCTATCCAGACTCTTTTAAAGGAAGGCACCTCCTTTGGACTCTGAGGCAGTGAGTTCCCCAGTTGAACAGTTCTCCTTACAGATAGGAAGGATGTCTTCTTCAAGGACGATCCCCAAAAAACAATTCCTTTGCATGATTAAAAAAGTATTGGGCTACACCTAAAAAGTCCCTCTCTGTGATGAAGATGTATGTGCATGATGGCCGGGACAAGGATTATTTGAGGGTTGCAATGGTAGGGGGAATACTCTATTGACTCAAATCTAATGCTCACTTTTTTGCTCAAATTAAGGAGCGCATTAGATTAGCATAATACAGTCATTATAGTTCTCTTGACTGAGACAGGCTGAGGATTCAGAGTGGAGAGTAGCCCTCTTTCCCTACCTCCTCCTTCTCTTCCAGGGAAGGTTGCCAAGGGAGGTAGGGAAAGAGGGAAGGATGCTGGTGGGGAAGGGGCAATGGGGAAAGTGGAGGGGGGCTTCAGGGCCGACTCACCTTTGCGGGCCCCATCCCAGGAGCTGCTGCTTTCCTTCCAGCCCTTCCTGCAGCCCTGCCTCCCTCCTTCTCTTCCGCTGTGGGCTCTTTCCTGTGCTGCTTCCCCCTTTCCTTCCCTCTCCCTCCTTCTCCCCAAATCGGTCACAAGGAAAGTGAGCTCCTTCCAAAGCCTGAAAGGAAGTCGCCTGTACTGATCCTGGATTAACTGTTGGGCTGCTGGCCCAGCAAAGGGCGGGAAGGCCAGCAAAGGGGGTGAAGGCAGCTGGACAGCAGTCCTATCTGGCCGACAGGATGTTCAGGCCAGGATGATGCCCTGCGGTCACTCCACAGCACTCTTACACTCAGGCCCTTAAAGGGCTCCTGGCCGTTCCTGGAAGAGACCCACAGTGGCCACAGCTACGTGTCCCTCCTCCCGCCGGCCATCCTCTCCACATCTGGAAGACATTAGTGGGTGGATGCTCGTCATGCAGGAAGCACCTCTGGAAGAAGTCTCAGGAGGAAAGGAGGCCCATCTGCAAAGGATGCCTTGTTTAGTTCGAATGGATCCGCAGGAACAAGGAGACCTGACCTATCGGTGGTGGCACCCGCCCTTCATCCAATGCACTCATGTGCAGAAGGCGGAAAGAACAGGAAAAGATTGGGTTGTAGGTTTTTTTCGGGCTATATGGCCATTGTTCTAGAGCAGTGTTTCTCAACCTGGGGGTCGGGACCCCTGGGGGGGGGTCGCCAGAGGGTGTCAAAGGGGTCGCCAAAGATTATCAGAAAAACACAGTATTTTCTGTTGGTCATAGGGGTTCTATGTGGGAAGTTTGGCCCAATTCTATCGTTGATGCGGTTCAGAATGCTCTTTGATTGTAGGTGAACTACAAATCCCAGCAACTACAACTCCCAAATGTCAAGGTCTATTTTCCCCAAACTCCACCAGTGTTCACATTTGGGCATATTGAGTATTTGTGCCAAGTTTGGTCCAGTTCCATCATTGTTTGAGTTGTAGGTGAACTACAACTCCAAAACTCAAGGTCAATGCCCTGCAACCCCTTCCAGTATTTTCTGTTGGTAATGGGATTTCTGTGTGCCAAGTTTGGTTCAATTCCATCACTGGGAGAGTTCAGAATGCTCTTTGATTCTAGGTGAACTATAAACCCCAGCAACTACAACTCTAAAATGACAAAATCAATCTTTCCCCAAAACCTCACCAGAATTTAAATATGGGCATATTGGGTATTTGTGCCAAATTTGGTCCAGTGAATGAAAATACATCCTGCATATCAGATATTTACATTATGATTCACAACAGTAACAAATTTACAGTTATGAAAGTAGTAACGAAAATAATGTTATGGTGGGGGGGGGGGTCACCACAACATGAGGAACGGTATTAAGGGGTTGCGTCATTAGGAAGGTTGAGAAACACTGTTCTAGAGACATTATCTCCTGACGTTTCACCTGCATCTATGGCAAGCATCCTCAGAGGTAATGAGGTCTGTTAGAAGTAGGAAAACAGGTTTATATATCTGTGGAATGACCAGGGTGGGACAAAGGACTCTTGTCTGCTGGAGCTATGTGTAAATGTTTCAACTGACCACCTTGATTAGCATTTGATGGCCTGGCAGTGCCTGGGGCAATCTTTTGTTGAGAGGTGATTAGATGTCCTTGTTTGTTTCCTCTCTGTTGTTTTGCTGTTGTAAGTTTAGGGTTCTTTGTGCCACCCTGATCATTCCACAGATATATAAACCCACTTTCCTAGTTCCAACAGACCTCACTACCTCTGAGGATGCTTGCCATAGATGCAGGCGAAACTTCAGGAGGGAATGCCTCTAGAACATGGCCATATAGCCCGAAAAAACCTACAACAACCCAGTGATTCCAGCCATGAAAGCCTTCGACAATACAGGAAAAGATTGCCACTCTGCCTCAAAGGCAAACAATGCAACACAATAAAGACAAGGCTGAAAGGGAACACAGGCACTGGAAGCAGGCAGGCCGCTAGGAACTTCATCACATGGCGTTGACATTCACCAGCCTCCGTGGTGAATCAGGGCAACAGTGAATCAATCCCGGTGCCCCGGCTGGCAGCTAATGCTTCACCATCACATGTGGGGAAGCGTTGCCACACAGCTTAAGCCCGCTCTAGCAACAGTAAGGTTCCATATTGGGAAAGGACTACAGTAGGGCTGTCTACTCTCACCCAACCTATTCAACTTGTAGCCAGAACACTGTAAACCGCACTGAGTCACCTGCGGGCTGGGAGGGGCGGTATACAAATATAGTAAATAAATCAACATGTCATGCAACATGCGAGGCTTGATGAATCCAAGGCTGAAGTTAAAATTGCTGGAAGAAACATTAACAACCTTACATATGCAGATGATACCACTTTGATGGCTGAAAGCGAGGAGGAGCTGAGACTTCTAACCAAGAAGAAAGAAAAAAGTGCAAAAACTGGGTTGCAGTTAAACATACAAAAACCAAGATGATGGCAACGAGACTGATTGTTAACTGGCAAATAGAGGTGAGAAAACATGGAGGCAGTGACAGGCTTTGTATTTCTAGGTGTGAAGATGACTGCAGACGCAGATTTGTAGCCAGGAAATCAGAAGGCGTTTACTTCTTGGGAAGAGAGCAATGACCAATCTTGATAAAATAGTGAAGAGTAGAGACATCACACTGGCAATGAAGATCCATATTGTTAAAGTAGTGGTACTCCCTGTAGTAACCTATGGATGTGAGAGCTGGACCATAAGGAAGGCTGAGCAAAGGAAGAGAGATGCTTTTGAACTGTGGTTTTGGAGGAAAAGTCTGAGTGTGCCTTGGATCCAACCAGTCTATACTCCAGGAAATAAAGTCAGGCGGCTCACTGGAGGGAAGGTTATTAGAGGCAAAGATGTATTGTTGAAGGCTTTCATGGCCGGAATCACTAAGTTGTTGTAAGTTTTTTAGGCTATGAGCCACCAGTGGAACAGTGGGTTAATGCGCTGAGCTGCTGAGCTTGTTGAACGAAAGGTCACAGATTCTAATCCGGGGAGCTGCGTGAGCACCCGCTGTCAGCCCCAGCTTCTGCCAACCTAGCAGTTCGAAAACATGCAAATGTGAGTAGATCAATAGGTACCGCTCTGGCAGGAAGGTAAGGCCGCTCCATGCAGTCATGCCGGCTACATGACCTTGGAGGTGTCTACGGAACAATGCTGGCTCTTTGGCTTAGAAATGGAGATGAGCACCACCCCCAGAGTTCGGACACACTAGACTTAATGTCAGGGGAAACCTTTACTTTTTCCTTATTTTTTATTATTTTATTATTAGTATTTTTTTTTTTTTTGTTTATTATTCCTTTGTTTTTTTTTTTTTGGTGCGACTTGACTTCATGTCAGTCAAAAACCTTAACCTTTTGGGCTATATGACCATGTTCTAGAAACATTATCTCCTGACGTTTCGCCTGCATATATGTCACAACCTCTGAGGATGCTTGCCATAGATGCAGGCAAAATGTTATGAGAGAATGCATCTAGAACATGGCCATATAGCCCGAAAAACCTACAACAACCCAAAGATGTACTTTGGCTGCATCATGAGAAGACAGGAAAGCTTGGAGAAGAGAATGATGCTTGGGAATATGGAAGGAAAAAGGAAAAGGGGCCAATTAAGGGCAAGATGGATGGATGGCATCCTTGAAGTGACGGGCTTGACTTTGAAGGAGCTGGGGGTGGCCACGGCCGACAGGTAGCTCTGGTGTGAGCTGGTCCATGAGGTCTCAAAGAGTCAGTAGTGACTGAATGAATAAACAACAACAAGCCCCATTGTTTCTTATGGAACACAGAGAAGCTCCCGTCTTGACGGTGCAGCGTCCTGCCAGGCTGCCGTCCCAGTTCACATACGGAGCCCCACTAAGAAATCAGCCTGCATCATCTGATGGGCAGTGTGGGGCTCTGTGAGGGAACTGGGGTGGCTGGCAGCGTGGTAGGACACTTTTTAGGGGTGCACAAAATGGCAGAAATCTGTTCTGTTTTCATTCCGTTTTCGTTTCTAATTTTGGGTGCCCTCCCCTTCTTCCTTCTGTTTTCAGGAACTCCAGATCCCAAATTATGAATCCAAATGTCCCCACTCCTAATCTCCCACCATGGAATCCCCGGTGGCGCAGTGGGTTAAACCCCTGTGCCGGCAGGACTGAAGACCGATAGGTCGCAGGTTCGAATCCGGGAAGAGGCGGATGAGCTCCCTCTATCAGCTCCAGCTCCTCATATGGGGACATGAGAGAAGCCTCCCACAAGGATGATAAAAACATCAAATCATCCGAGCGTCCCCGGGCAACGTCCTTGCAGATGGCCAATTCTCTCACACCAGAAGCGACTTGCAGTTTCTGAAGTCGCTCCTGACACGGAAAAAAAAATCTCCCACCATCTTCCTGAAAACAGAATGGGATACACTCAAAATTCAAAACGAAAACAGAACAGATTTCTGCCATTATTTTTTTCATGTGTGATGAGGTCATCAGGGAGCCAATGCCCTCCATCCACATATCTCCCCTCCGTGGATTAGCCACTGATGGGCAAGACTGAGACTTAGCCCACCAACCTTCTCAGACATGGATCTACCCTTGATGATGTCTTTCCTCCTTAATCCTTCTGTCTTTGGTAAGGAAACATTGGGCATTGGAAGTCACACAGACACAAGCCACCCAGAGCTCTGCCCATCAGTGCCCCTATTGATTGAGGCTTCTGCCCACCTTTTCCCTGAAAGGATCACTCCTGTCCTTCCTTGGGGAGGGGGGCTGTTAATGGACTTCTTGTACTCCATGTCATTTTAATGGGAACACCATGAAACGAGTATTGTGTGGCCAACAGCACGTGGGAGATTCCTCTGGTCCTAGTTGGGAATCACATTCAAAGTGTCTCAGAAACAGAATACAGGTTGTCCCCAAGTTCAGAACAAGATTGGTTCTGTAGATTTGTTCTTAAGTTGAATTTGTATGTAATTTTTTTATTTATCATGTCAGAAGTGAATTGAGAATGCAGTTATAATGTATAGAAAAAACACAAAGTTAAAAACTTGGCATTATGCTAAATGTCCTTTGGCCAGAAGCTGGCCACTTGGAGTGCCTCTGGTGTTGCTATAAGAAGGTCCTCCATTGTGCATGTGGCAGGGCTCAGACCACATTGTAATAGGTAGTCTGTGGTTTGCTCTCCTCCGCACTCGCATGTCATGGACTCCATTTTGTGACCCCATTTCATAAGGTTGGGTCTGCATCTCGTGGTGCCAAAGCGCAGTCTGTTCAGCACCTTCCAAGTCGCCCAGCCTTCTATGTGCTCAGGAGGAACTCTCTCATCTGGTCTCTGCCATTGATTGAGATTCTGGGTTTGAGCCTGCCACTTTTGGACTCTTGCTTGCTGAGATGTTCCTGCAAGTATCTCTGTAGATTTTAGGAAGCTATTTCTTGATTTAAGGCA